ACAGAAATCAAGGAGAGTGTGCACAAAAGATGAGTCACAGTATGGATGTTTAAAGGATGGTTCTGAAGAATAACGGCCTGAAGAGCAGTGACTGGACTTGAAAACCCGGTGGGACTTCAGGGGCCTGGGTTAGAAGGAAGGGCTAGCAGAACCAAATTGAATGGTGGGGGGGGTGGGGGGACTGTGAATGGGAGGTAAGGAAGGCAAGTCTGTGTGTAGGCAACCCTTTCTGGAAGAGAGAGAGGAGGTCAGTGGACTGTAGTGAGGTCTGTATCACTTTAGTTTTTTCCTTTAAAGTTGGAAAAAATTGAAGAATGTTTATTGAAAGAAAGGAGCCAGTATGAGGAAACAGTTAACTCACAGACTAGTATATGGACAGGATCATATTTAAAAAAAAATTATGTTCTGTTAGACACCACACAGTACATCATTAGTTTTTGATGTCGTGTTCCATGATTTATTGTTTGCAAATAACACCCAGTGCTCCATGCAATCTGTGCCCTCCTTAATACCCACCACCAAACTCACCGATCCTCCCACCCCCTCCTTCTAAAACCCTCAGTTTATTTCCCAGAGTCCATAGTCTTTCATGGTTCATCTCCCACTTGGATTCCCTCACCCTTCATTTTTCCCTTCCTTCTAATGTCCTCCATGCTATTCCTTATGTCCCACAAATAAGTGAAACCATGTGATAATTGAGTTTCTCTGCTAGACTTATTCCACTTAGCATAATCTCCTCCAGTCCCATCCATGTTGATGCAAAAGTTGGGTATTCATCCTTTCTGATGGCCAAGTAATATTCCATTGTGTATACGGACCATATCTTCTGTATTCATTTGTCTGTTGAAGGGCATCTCGACTCTTTCCACAGTTTGACTATTGTGGACATTGCTACTATGAACATTGGGGTGCATGTGCCCCTTCTTTTCACTATATCTGTATCTTTGGGGTAAATACCCAGTAGTGCAATTGCTGGGTTGTAGGGTAGCTCTATTTTTAATTTTTTGAGGAACCTCCATACTGTTTTCCAAAGTGGCTGTACCAACTTTCATTCCCACCAACAGTGAGAGGGTTCCCTTTTTTCCACATCCTCTCCACCATCTGTTGTTTCTTGCCTTGTCAATTTTTGCCATTCTAACTGGTGTAAGGTGGTATATCAGTGTGGTTTTGATTTGAATCTCCCTGATGGCTAATGATGATGAACATTTTTCATGTGTCTGTTAGCCATTTGTATGTCTTCTTTGGAGAAGTGTCTGCTCATGTCTTCTGCCCATTTTTTGACATGATTATCTGTGGGTTTTTTTTTTTTTTTTTTGGGTGTTGAGTTTGAGAAGTTCTTTATAGATCTTTGATATTAGCCCTTTGTCTGTAGTGTCATTTGCAAACATCTTCTCCCATTCTGTGGGCTGCCTCTTTGTTTTGTTGACTGTTTCCTTTGCTGTGCAGAAAATTTTTATCTTGATGAAGTCCTGAAAGTTCGTTTTCACTTTTGTTTCCCTTGCCTTTGGAGACGTGTCTTGAAAGAGGTTGCTGTGGCGGATGTTGAAGAGGTTCCTGTCTATGTTCTCCTCTAGGTTTTTGATGGATCCCTGTTTCATGTTGATGTCTTTCATCCATTTTGACTTTATCTTTGTGTATGGTTTAAGAGACTGGTTGAGTTTCATTCTTCTGTACATAGGTGTATGGACAGGTTTCTGAGAAGCAGGAGAATTAGGATAAGGGTGAAGAGATTGGTTTTGGGCAAGAAGGGAAACTCTTTTTAAAATGGATTCCATTTAATTGATGGATTAATTGGACATACTAACAAGTACTGAAGTTTTTGGGGATAAACATCAGTAGGTTAAAAAAAAATAATTACATGGTCCTTCATCACATTGAAAATCTCCATTTCCCACTTCCAGGACCCTTGTTGGTCCTTATGTTATTTCTTCTTTTGTCAGTCTCCAGTCAAACATCTTTCCTTAGCTTTGTCTAATGACTGGAAGTCAAGTTGTTAGGACTTTCCCAGCAGGGCCACTTTAACGTTTGCTTAACTTGGAGTTTAACTCTTGGCCTTCCATACTACGTGCCTAAGAAACTTAACATCTTTGACCAATTTTTGACTTGGTTCATAGTCACAAGGGGCACAGGTACTAGGTAGGGAGTGTAACACAGGAAGAAGGGGGTGTGTTCTTTAAAAAAAAAAACAACTACTAAATTTGAGCAACTTCTGGGAAGAATAAAATTCTTTTCTCTTACATGACCTTAAAAACTGTAAGATTATGGGAGATTGGGGATGTGTAATTATGTTGTGGTTAATGGTAGATTTCAGTGAATGTTTTCAACATAAAAACATAATGAGGAAACACATATATTTTGATCAAATTCACTCTTTTTAAAAAAATTTAAATTCAATTAGTCAGCATATAGTAAATCATTAATTTCAGATGTAATGTTCAATATTTCATCAGTTGCATGTAACACCCAATCTTGATCAAATTCACTCTTCATCCCGAGTAAATACTTTTTGATGGGGTATAAATGAAATACACTTTAAACTTTATGAGTGTTCAGAAGTAGATCACTCCTCCACCTCCAACTACTGCAAAGATCCTTTGCTTTGTTATCGCTGATTAGTAAATACAACCATGGGTGTACTTTCACAAAGAAACTTGAATTTTGTACCAGAGAAGGAGATTCAGTTAACATTTTCACTCCCTAAATATGATAAGCAAGGATTTTGCTGTATCAGTTTTTGTTTTTGAGTAACCAGTTTCAGGATAGCCCATGAGTTTTGTTCTCATTTATCTGCTCTTTTCCTGTGGAAATAGCAGGAAAATTAAGCATGTTTTCATTGTCTTTGAGCTTGGTGGCCCTTGAAGGAAGGTTCTTCTAGTCTCTCAGAGGGGGAAGTTGGTTCACTCGCTAAAACGACGGCAGAAGAGGATGTCTCTGTGCAAAGGGTCACAGAATATGGTGGGCCTGTGACTGGAAAGCGCTCCTGGCTGCTTTGGGTTTGGGAGTGCTCCATGGGGGATGCTCCATGGGGAGTGCTCCATTCAGCTCTGTTCTTCTTTGCTTGCCCTAGTTATATCTTGCTACTCCTTCTTGGAAATGAAGAGGGCTGAACCCTTGGGTTGCCATCAACGAACATGGGTTTATATGGGCATGTGGCACCTCAGGCCATCACCACCCCTTTTTGGAGTGAGGCGAGCTCACCTCCTATTTGGCAGCACACAATCTGATGAAAGCCATTTTGCAGCTCTGCAGCCTAGGGCCATACTTCCCATTCCCAGCTGCAGTTGGCTAAGTATTAAATAGACATCAGCATGAGGTACTTGTACACTGAAAAGAGTAGAAATGTGGAACTGACCCTTGGCTTCTTATTTATCCTCTTCCCTCCATAAGCCCCAGTTTATACAGAGTCAGCTTCCAGATGCGTCAGGTCGCTCAGCTTCCTCTTGCTCTTTGCCAACATGGGGCCCTTGGGAAGGGGCCCAACTGGAAGACCCTGTAACTACTGCTGAGATAGATTTTTAAATCTACACAGAGGGAGGTACTGGGAGTTCAACTGAAGCATCTCCCATTTTCCCCTTAGAGCCCTAGAGAGACCAATTCTCCTGCTTCCTAACTCCCTCCTCCCACCCCACCATGCACTTTCAGGCCCCAGTTTGGGTTTATTCACAACCATGTGTATAATTCATGCAAGACAGGTTACAGTGGAGCGTGTTACCTTTGTTATTCAAGCATGGCTCAGTAATGCTGCTCCAGATTTTGGCCGGGAAGTAGGTTTTATTGGTGTTTGGGCCTGATATTTTCCTGTCCGGAAACCTCCCCCTTCCCTTGTTGAGGTTGTTTTGGCAAGCACCACCAGGGAAAATCTCCCTTCCACTTGTCCAGTTGGATAAATGGGTTCCAAGCAAAAAACAGGCTGTTGTATAAATCAGCAGCCCTTGGGGGGAAATATTTGCTTAAAAGAGTTTGCCTTGAGCAGTGGGGAGTCAAGACTGCCCTGGCAGGCAGTGAAAGCCCCATCTGAGCCCTGGTTTGGCCAGGATTGTTCCTGGTGTTGGTGCAGTTAGCATCTTGGCATTGCTGTAACTGAAGGATGTTCTGGGAAGGGAGTGCGTCCTGCCTCGTTGAAGACCATCATGCTTGTTCTGAACTATTGTTTTACATACTCCCTGAGATAATGGGAGAACTCCAGCCAGAGAGCTGAGAAATAAATGAAAGACTCCATGTCTCCATTTATTGTGCTTTTCTGCCCTCTAGGTTTTCTGTAGGGTTAAGTAGAGGAAGGAGATCAGTATCCTCGGGAGAAGCTATTATTAGCACAGAAGAGGAAGTGGTGGTACCTGAAAAATACAAGTTAGCTCCCCAGTCAAGTGACTGGCAGGAAAGAAGGTGGAGAGGGCAGGCACAAACACAAAGCCTCCTGAGTGGTTCAGTGTTTTTGGAGTGGAGCGTGGGCCGGGGTGGAGGTGGGAGGTGAGGCTGGGGAGGAAGGCAGAGGCAGGTCCAGGAAAGCTTGTATACCATTCTAGAGAAAGTCTGGTTTTATCTGGGAGACTTTTCAGGTAGGGAGTGAAAACATCCCCTTTTGTGATCTCATTTCAGAGAGTTTATTCTGGCCACACTGTGGGGATTGATGTAGAAGTGGTGGGAAATGCAACAGAGAAATGCAACAGAAGGTCCAGGTGGTAAACTGTCACGTGATCCAAGTGAGAAGTGGTCAGGGTCTGAACAAGGGGGAAAGACACACCAATGAGATGGAGGGGGGCTGCACTTGACAAGTGATTATCTGGCACTATGATGGGGCGGGTCCAGGATGGCGTCTAGGTGTCCGACTTGGTGAGAAGGGACTGGTGGTGCCTTTTGTGAAAGTGGGAAACAGAGGAGGAAGAGCAGTTAGGGGGATAGAGCAACAGATGACTTCACAGCAAACATTTGTAGAATCGGGTAAATGGAAACCCTTAGGAGCCTTCTCCTAGGTCAGTGCCATATGCTTATTTTCCTTTTAGGAGAGATTTTGGGCCTCACAAAGTATTACCAGTGAAGATTTACCAGCCTGACCAGTTTGTCCCAAGTGAAGAGAACATGGATCTACTCACAACGTATAAACAAGATTATAACCCCTACCCTGTCTGCCGAATGGACCCCATCAAGCCTCAGGACAGTAAATACCCGTGTGGTGACAAGATGGAGTGTCTGCCTACTTACAAAGGTGGGAGAGTGCTGGAGGGGCAGGTTGGGGAAGCATAGGCTGAATCTGTACGTAAGCCAAGAAATGGGTTTTACAGGTACACCCTTGGAGTGCAGGGGTCAGGGGAATTACATCCTACAGGCCAAATCTGTTCTGCAGCCTGTTTTTGTAGAGCTGGAGAGCCAAGAGTGACTTTTAAATTTTTGAATGATTAAAACAAATCAGACTATTATTTTAGGAATTGTGAAAATTACATGATGTTCAAACCCTGGCATTCATAAGTATATTTTGTTGGAACGTGCCACACTCATTTGTTTATGCATTATCTGTGGCTACTTCTGTGCTATAGCAGTGAATCTGAGTGTTTGTGATGGAGACTGCATGGCCTGTAAAGCCCAAGACACTTAATATCTGGTCTTTTATAGAAAAGATGTGCCACCTCCTACCATAACTTGCTATTAGAATTTTACACTGAGGAAGCATTTCAAGGTTGTTAGGTTCCATTGCTGATTCAGTGATTGATTCATTCATCATTAAAAAAAAATATGGAAACCTAATGTACATATAGAAAAATGTACAAATCTTAATTATACAGGCCAGTGATTTTTTAAAAAAGATTTTATTTTTCTTCCCCTCTCTCTCTGCCTGCCTCTCTGCCTACTTGTGATCTCTGTCTGTCAAATAAATAAATAAAATCTTTAAAAAAAAAGGTGGGGGGGCGCCTGAGTGGCTCAGTGGGTTAAGCCTCTGCCTTCGGCTCAGGTCATGATCTCAGGGTCCTGGGATCGAGCCCCACATCGGGCTCTCTGCTCAGCAGGGAGCCTGCTTACCACCCCTGCCCCTGCCTGCCTCTCAGCCTACTTGTGATTTCTGTTTGTCAAATAAATAAATAAAATCTTTAAAAAAAATAAAAGATTTTATTTGATAGACAGGGAGAGAGGGAACACAAGCAGGGGGAGTGGGAGAGGGAGAAGCAGGCTTCCTGCTCGGCAGGACCCTGGGACTCGGGGCTCGATCCCAGGACCCTGGGACCATGACCTGAGCCAAAGGTAGATGCTTAATGACTGAGCCACCCAGGTGCCCCCAGACCAATGATTCTGGGGTGAACACATTCCTGTAAACAGTGCCCAGATCAAGAAATAGAACATTGATCCCACCTAGGATAGAACCATTATGCTGACTTTAAACACCATAAGTTAGTTTTACTAGTTTTGTACTTCATATAAAAGGGATGGATTCATTCTTTTTTTTTTTTTAATTTATGTATTTTTTTAAGAGAGGGGGGTGGGGAGGGTCAGAGGTAGAGAATCTCTGACTCAGGGCTCCATCTCACGACCCATGAGATCACGACCTGAGCTGAAACCAAGAGTCGGATTCTTAACCGGCTGAGCCACCCAGGAGCCCCTGATTCATTGTTTATTGAGCATCTGTTCCATCCTGGGCATGGTGTCAGCAGCTGTGAAGCAAGCATCATGACCTGCTCTGACTTAACAGTCCTGTAGGAGAGCTGGGATGTGGATTGGTAGGGACGGTGAACAGGGTGTGGTGGTCACTCTGTGGAGCACAAGCCACAGGCTGACACCGTGGAGTGGAGATGGAGGCCAGTTCGTAATCCCTAACTCTTCTGCTTGTGATGCATATGGGCACAGGGTTGCCCCAGGAATAGATGTTCGACTGTTCATGTAACATCTTTGTGGGTCCCTAAATAACTGTGCTCTTGGACACTTTTATTTAGTCAATCAAAACATTTAGGCGAGCGGTGGCGGGGAGACTTGTGGGGATGTAGGAATCCTCCAGAAGCCCTTCTAGGGGTTCTACATCTATCATTCCAAAGGCACCATGCATGGCTGAGCTTCTCTGCTTCTTCCAAGAACCTGGACTCTTGTCATTTTGCCACCTCATCTTTAGTATCATTCTCTTCCACTCTCACCTTCTGCCAGGCTGCATTTTGGACGTGGTCATACCTTGAAATGCCTCCTCCTTTTTGCACTCCAACATCCAGGGCTCCTAGCTTGCTCTCTCTCTCTTTTTTTAAAAATATTTTATTTATTTACTTGACAGAGAGAGAGATCATAAGTAGGCAGAGAGGCAGGCAGAGAGAGGGGGAAAGCAGGCTCCCTGCTGAGCAGGGAGCCTGATGCGGGGCTCGACCCCAGGACCCTGAGACCATGACCCGAGCCGAAGGCAGAGACTTAACCCACTGAGCCACTCAGGTGCCCCCTAGATTGCTCTCTTAACTATTTCTGCTAGGAGAGTTTTGGCCTCATTGAGATCCCCTCTGCACTGGTGCCTTAACCTTCCATGTCCCCATCAGTCCCTCCTTTTTATGTTTGTGCCCTGTATAGCCCATTTTCTGGTACATTCTCTGATATATCATTGTAGCCCTCTTTTACTTCCTCTCCTGTCCTCCTGTTGCTTCCTGCCAGCAAAGCCCACATCCTGCCTTCTCCATGTCTACACTTGGGTATATACCAGAGTATGTCTCCAATCTTACCTGCTTTTATCCATTTTCCACAGAAAAGAACCAGGGAGAGCTTTTAAAAATGGCGGTATGATCTGACCTCTTCTCTGTTGAAACTTCTCAAATACTGTGGTCCCTAGGATGAAATCCCAAATCTTTACCATCTCCTCTGGTACCTTGCAGATTTTGGTGCCTCCCCACCAGTGCCCCTCTGCTCTGGCCACAGGACCTTCTTTCAGTTCCTTTTCTGAATTTCTTTTCTGTCTCAGGGCCTGTTGCACATGCTACTTCCTCTGTATAGAGCCCTCTACCCTTTCCTTGTCTAGCACTCATCCTTCAATGAGCAGTAGAAATATCACACCCTTTGCAGCCTTTCTAGACCTTCCCCCATACCAGACTATCTACATCTTACCAGATGCCCTGAGAGAGCCTTGCAATCCTCTGTTTTGTCATTCAATGTGTAATTTTGTTTTGTTTTGTTTTGCTTAGCATTTGTCTTCTTGGCTAGGCCTTAATCTTTAAGATGGCAGGGATGTTTTTCTTTGCCAGCAATAAAGCAGGCACTGTAGTAGATGCTGTACAAAGGAGTCATGACAACCAGGTGCATGGTGAGGTGGCATTCTGGCTTTGGCAGGACTCCTCCATCTCCCTTTCCATCTAGTGCTTACAGAAGGCAAGAAAAGGGGTGCCATGGACCATAAAAAGGTAAGAAGGCACAAAACTAGAGTGAGCCCTTATTGCTGATGGGAGAAGGAGTAGGGATTCTGGTAGAGTATGTCCATCTGCAAACTCTCCTTTCACATGCTCCTTAGGGGGCCCCTTGATTTAAGAATCCTGGAGTTAGAGACTCTTCAGTACAACTGCCTGCTCAGCTCAACTCCCCCTTCCCCTTTTGCCCTAGGGGCAGAGAGAGGTCTGGGAGTGAGAAATGATTTATTTGTTGCATTACTTCCCTATGATGTAGTGGCTTCCAAAAGTGGGCCTTGACTGCCCAATGTGTATTTTCATCATTTAGTCAGGCAGTGGCACAACAAATGTCTGTTTTTTTTTAGCGAGGAAATCAATGAATGAATAGTCTGGGCCGTTGTTTATAAGGCTCCAGGTGACACAGTCTGGACTTAGATTTATTCAAATCCCCACCCAGTCCATTACTCTGTGGGTCCTGGCTTAGAGCAGGAGTGAAGCAGGACAGTTACTCTCCCCTGCAAAGCCTTGTGCATGAATGAGGGGGCCACACCCTTGCCTCATCACTTTGTGTATCACCTTTCCATGACTTGTTTGTCTCTTGTGGACATTTGCTTCCTTAGGAAGTCCTTTTTTTTTTTATTTTTTAAAGATTTATTTATTTATTTATTTGACAGGCAGAGATCATAAGTAGGCAGAGAGAGGGGGGGAAGCAGGCTCCCTGCTGAGCAGAGAGCCCAATGTGAGGCTTGATCCCAGGACCCTGAGATCATGATCTGAACTGAAGGCAGAGGCCCAACCCACTGAGCCACCCAGGTGCCCCAGGAAGTCTTTTCCATAGCATCTTTCATAGTTTTATGGACATATATTGATTCTTCTCCCAAAGGAGAAGAACAAAACCAAAGTCCAAGGTCATTAAATGTGTGTATTTCAATGGGTGCCATCTATGTTATGTCTGTGTTCCATGTACTATAGCCCTACAGGAAAAATATGAAAACTTTTTTCTTCTATTATGGCCAGCACCTTTAGTGGAGTCCAGAAAACCACCATTAAATATGTTCCAGCAGCATTTGGTTGTAATTTTGACGTTTTCAAAACACTGTGCAATTGGGAAGATTGAAAGTGTAATTACTTGATGCTCAGCTTTAGGTTTAGCTAAGGTTTTTTTTTTTTTTTCCCCCCCCTTAAAGACCTATTATTGAATGGAATCCCTTTTAAGAGATTCTTGCCAATTACCCACATGACACCCTGGCCCTTAAGGGCTTTACTGATGGCTTTTCAGGTATGTATATAGTTTGTCATGTGGAATTCTGAGGTTTTTCAGGGTCCTATGCAGGCTTTTTTGTAATACATGTTGGGTGGAGGAAGTTAGAGGTTGGATAATAATGTGGTTTTGACTGTATTATTGGGTATCAGAAATCACATGAGGCAGCTTGCAGCCTAGGAACTTGTTTTCTTAACACTTCATCCATCACAGAAGAGGGCCAGAAAAACCCTGTCCTCCCCACCCCCATGCACCTTGAGGCAGTGTGTAGGCATCTACAGGTAGATGCCCCCATTTGAGTGGGGCCTGAAGTCTGAAAGGGAAACATGTGGTTTATATTCAGCAAGATGGTTCCCTCCAAGGCCCCTAATGCTTTCAAGATGCTGATAGAGCCATTAATGGCTCTCAGAGAAAGATTAGATTTTCAATTAAAATGAGGCAAATTTAAAAGAAAGAGTTGGTAGTATTGTTGGCCTAAAATAAACTTAAGAGTATGCCTGGGGGTGGGATGTCCAGACTTCTGGAGGGTTGGAGTGAGGAGCTCAGTAAATCCTCTTCCTAAAAAGCAACAATAAAACTGGACAAAACAATAAAAACCAGCCATGTTAGGGC